GGGGGGGGGGGTCCAGCTGGATTGCTCCCAGTGCCCTCCCAGAAGTTGCCAGCCCCTTCCCTCTCCAGAGCTGACACATGTAGCCCATGTGAAGCCCCCTGATTTTCCATTCCAAAATAAGATACTGCACTAAAGCTATGGTGATAGGGTAGAGAGGAAAAAAAAGAGAACACTCTTGATGCAAGGCCCAGGCCTGGCAAAGGAGACCCATGCTCAGATATCAGGGGACAAGAAGATAGTACCACCAAAAAGCACCCTCCCCCCACGAATCTGATAGCAATGCTATTCTGGTCAGGGGGCCACCCTCATGGAGCTGGCCAATCAGCTCTGGGAGGTGTCAAAGACCTGGCAGGAATGAAGCCAGAGGCCATTATAATGGCAGCAGGGATTTCCATTAACTCCTTTTTCCCTGGAACTTTTCAAGTCTTTGTCCTATTCTGCTCCCCAGTTCCACCCTATCCTTCCTGCTCTCTGGGCCTGTCTACACATACAGTTAGTGCACATAAATAAATTCTGGTGCAATCAGCTCTGGAATTTATTCACGTGCAGTACATGGAGCTCAATTGGAGCAGTGCCAGCTTGCAGGCAGTCCCGGGGGTCATCCTGCCAGTCTGGGGATGCTTTGACTGGGCTCAGTGTATTGTGTGGGGGCTAGTTGGGGCACGAGGGTGCTTCAGCACAAGGCTAGCCAGCAGGCAGCCCCTGCGCTGAAGCCCCTCATGCCCCAGCCAGCTTGGGCAGTGTCTACACGTGCACTGCTGTGCACAAAAAAACCTCTGCAGCAGGGTAGTACTTGTACTTAAAAGTACTATCTTGCTGCAGAGTTCATTAATTTCCTGTACCCTAATAGGGGCACACATGTAGACACTGAGCAGATCTACACAAGAGGTTACATTGACATAGTGATGAGCTACACCGCCGTAGCTCATTGCTATGGCAGTGTAGTGTTGGAGGGCATGAACAGTAACACCAACACTACTGCACAGTAGCAACAAGCAAGTACTTTAAGCAAGTACTAAATGACTGTGCAGTCCGGCGCACATGTAGACACACCTACTGAAATCTTTACTGTGGAGCTAGTCAGCTCTGCAATAAGCGTCTTGTGTAAACGTGCCCTCCCTCTCCCCAAATACAGCTCCTCTAACTAGTCAGAGCACAACCCTGATGCCCTGTTGAAATCAGCAGGCGTATTAATGCTCCCAGACCCCTGCCAACCCATATTAACAAAATGGTTAAAATGCTTTTTTCATCAAAACACACTTTAGCCCCTATGTTACCCTGGAATTATGTACACTTGTCTCAGGGGAGAACATAATGCTTAGCACCTGAATATAAGGGTCAGAGGACTGTCTCTCCTCCCACCGAAATCCTCATAGTCTGCTTCACTTGTAGACCCATTTGTCAGGAAAGAAAAACAGAGATATAACAGATCTCAAAATTACTCCAGGAAGAGAAAGACTATCAAGAACTAAATAGAGATGAGAGGAGAGGGGAAGAAAGCAATGAAAGGAGGGAATCTAAGGGGAAGGGTAAACTCTGAGCTGGAGAGAGTTAAACCACCTCTTCCCTGACTGTATATGTGGGAGGTATAGCATGTTCCAGGACTCACCTTCCAGGTGCTTTCTGTCCTCCTTTCCCTCTTCTTTTTCTTTTTTTTTCCCCCACTCAATGACTCCTTCCCTTGCTTGGGGCTTGTCCCTGGGCTGCAGCAGCCTGCTGTCTCCTGGAGTGTTTTCTGCTTCAATCTGCAGAAATGCTAGGAGGAACCTTTCGGTCTAAGAATATCCCGCCTGCCCAGACCCTTTCCAAAAAGAATGACTTCTAGTGGGTAGAGTGACTGAGACCTTGGGGCTTGGCTCCCAGGAGGAACACGTGTACAAACTCTTATCAGGTGTTCCCTAAAGGAACTTCAGAAACCCATGTCACACCCGGCCCCTGTCTGAAGAGGCAGTGCAGTCCACTACCCTCGAGATGACCGCACTGTTTATCCCCCAGTCTACCCCTGTGCTGGTGAGTATCACCCACCCCACTCCACCCATTCACTGTGCTGGAAGACTGTGTGTATTACCCTGCTCACCCCTGTGGAAGAGAAGAGAAAATATCTACCCTATCCCATACCTTCCCCATAGCCTAGGATACCATATAACACCCATTTCACCCTCATTCTGCTGCCCCATTCCTCACGTACCATGTAACGCTTCATCCCGCGGGGAATCTGTGGCTTGTGAGTCGAGTGCATCTGATAATTTATTACTGCTCTCTCCACTGCAATATGATACTAATAAAATTACTGTTGCATCTGCTATTAGCTCTGCTATGACTTTCTCTCCCAGAGACCTAAGGAATAGTACTGTGACAACCACAGTTAGCTCAATAAAAAATAT